CCGCCAAATTGATGGGTGGTGTCTTGGACCTGCCCACAGCCACTGAAGTCCCCTGCAATTCCCCTGGAGTCTATTGTTGGTAACACAGATGCACACACATGCTTGCACACAAGCACACACTCACATACACAAACACATATGGCGTCCTAGTTTAACCTCTTGCTGATATTCACTTGAACCAATCATACTGTTCTCCCATAGTGGTACCTAGTAAATAGCAAAGAGGGTAGCATCAGGACAACTTTTACTGTCACTAATATTTTCTGACACTGAACTTAATAAAAAAATGTCATCAGCGTTGTCTGCTGCTGCTTTCTGAGACGCATTCCTAACACTTTCCCAGCACTTGGGCGTCTTCGTGTTCGCTGCCCTTCTTGTACCCTCTCCTTGCCCACACATTTAAAAGAACGGGTTCAGCGAGTATGCAAAGCTAAAAATTATGCATCTAGTTATCGAGCAAGGCAGCTGGGGTTGCTGTGAAGTCTTTAAAACCACGAGCCACAAGCAGTCAAGACATGACAGGCAAGATTAGAATCTGCTCTTAACAAGATGCTGGTGAGGAAAGGGGGGTGGGGGTAGTGGACTGGGAGAAAAAGATGTCATGAGATTGACCGTGGTGTGAGTAGCAGAAGAAAAACTGATATGAAACAACAAACAGACACACATGTTCTCCTGCGTGAGGTGCACACAGTAACAAGAGCTTAAGTTATATTTCAATATTGCATGAATTTAACTGAAACAGCTTACCCTTCCAGGGAAATAGTTGTCACAAGATGTGTCACATATTCTCCCCTTCGACAGGAAGACATGTCACTGACTGAGGTTTCTCAAATAAACTCAATGCCCCACCTGTGCTCCTGTACTGTCAGCTATTAGCGTGCAGTTGTTTCTGTGGAATTACTTTAACACCCTAAGTGCCGATGCAGGGAGTGCAATTGTCTTCGTCTTTTCAGTCCACAAATTAAATTAATAGAATGGAAACAACACTGATGCATCATGAGATTGCAAGCTCATAGTTAAAAAGTTAGCGTGATAAAAACTTAGAGACAATAACTATTCTCCTGAGGAGTCTTTGCAGCACCTTACACTCAGCCCTGACCTATTTGCCGTATTCACAGCTTTAACTGCAAGTGGGTCAAGAACTCTGAACTTTATCTAGACCCATCTCTTTCACACTCTCCTTCACACACAGCACGTTATGGTCTTTATTTCCTTTGCTCGTTTCTCCTGTCAGCCACAGTCTAAAGACACAGTGCGTGAGTGTGTGTGTGTGTGTAGATGTATTTGGTGTGCTTACCAAATAGGCAGAAAATGTGTCCCGGGCCCTATATGACTCCCCTGCCTGTCGCCCAGCTCTGCTGCCTCCGTCTCTGGGCAGGGCTGCAGCTCTACCAGACAGGAAACTTGCGAGTGGCCCTAGTCATACAGGCAAGCCCTTGCCTGATCCCACACAAACAGACACTTACCACCACCCCCCTCACCACCCCCCTCACAACCACCTCCACCCCACCCACCCCCTCTATTTTCAGCCCACAACTCTGCTCCGCATCCCCTTCTCTCATTGGCCTGACAGCTGCTCATTCACCACACCTCCTCGTCAGGATAGGCTGGCGGCTGTTCCCTTTCCTGGATGGCCGAGGGCAAGGCACTCTGGGATGTAGAGTTCTCAAACCCCATATGACTCGTTTTGTAGCCCCTGCTGTGGACTACGAGTCCCAGTGCTCCATGCCCTCACCACCCCCACTATCTCCAAGCCTGCTCTAACGTAAGCACTCAGGGCTGAATTATACACTACTGTATGTTGCTAGCAGGCTGCCAGGTATTAAAGTACAGACCAGCCATCAAAACAGGGCCAAGCTTCGTATGAGGAAAAAAGAAAACATTTCAACCTCAACTGTCACAGCAGTAAGCAAACATCAGAGGTGAATTCATTCACAAGCTCATGACAGAGTGACATTTCAGACACACTTACAACTCCTGACCTAAATTATGAGTTACTGCTCTTCCAAACAGACTAATGCCACCACGACATGCCCAACGGACACAGTACACAACTTGCCCCTGCACCGAGCATTTCAATTGCCGCTGTCCGAAAAAGTTTTTTGCGATTGCTTATGTCAAGTCCAGTAGAATTATTTTTGGTTTCTCCTTCTGCTCATTCAGTGCCCCCCACCCTCTCTCGAGAGCCCCCCTCCTCCTCCACCTCCTCTAAGTGCTTCCACCTGCCTGAAAAGTTAATGCCTTGAACACATCCTATAAACTTTACCTCAAGATCCCTCAGAGGTAAAGAGCAGTGCAGAGGAAGTACTTTAGAAGGATAAAAAAAAAAAGAGGAACCTTGACTGGGGACTACTGCTGCGACCCACCTCTCCTCATCGGCCAACCCCTCCACCCTGCTCTCCTTTCTGTCCCCCTCCCTCATTCCTCCCTCTCTCCTCTCCTCCTCTGCCCTGCTCCCCTCTGGTCGACAGGCCCAGGGCAGACAGCGGGGGGATGGCAGGGTGCCTTTAGCTCACCTGCGATGGCCGTGGTGGTGCTTATTGTGGGTTAGCTCAGCCCTCTCCTCTCCTCCTCTCCGGAGCTCTCTCTCTCTCCCTCTCACTGTTGTGCAGCTTAAAGCCCCGTATGCGCTAACCAAGCAGCAGCAGATCAACTCAATTCCCTTCCTGGTTTCTGGAGGGCAAAGAGGTCCCTCCCTTTCTCTCTCTCTCTCCCCTAACTCTCCCTCCCTCTCTCTTAAAGAAACAGCACTCGTCCTCCGTCCCCTCTCCCTCCTCCCCCTGTGAAGCAAAAGTTAAGCAGAAATATCTTTGCGCTCAAAAGTGGACAGTTATTAAAGTCATAAACTCAAACAGAGATAACACAAATCATTAACCCTTACCTTTCCACTGTGTGGTTCCACAGTGGATGTTAGCCTGTGTCTCCCTCTGTGGACACTCAAAAGCATGTTTTAAGGTTAAACTGAGTTGTAACGCATGTCTTTTCTCACATGCCACATCTCCCAGTATTGCTTTCCTTGTCTATGTGAGTCGAGTCGCACCCATCCATCCCATTGCCTGAGGTCATGGTGTCCCATCCCAAAAGCAAGCCATGGCACATTCCAGCACAAACAGTAGGGGCTGCCAGCAACCCCCTTGATACTCAGTGTGGCTCAGCCCAGTCTCTGTACATAAGGCTGCCAAGCTCCAACAGGTAAGGCATCAAAGAAGACGTTACTAAGCTGAAAAGTGTCTCCACGGTGGGGAATGGCAAGTTCCCATGTGTAAATCTAAAGCTCATGCGCTTGATGTTGCGCCACTTCCAGCCTCCCACTGCACGCCCCCACGGTGAGCGCAAGCCAGCCATTGTGGCATGGAGTGGGATGGAGCAGAAGATGTAATCGATGATTCTGTTGCACCATTTACAATCTCAACACGCCTCTGAATGCACCTTAACGCACACACAAGAAAATTGACTTTACACAGTGTTTCTACCTGTAAATAGTTGGTTTCAGCCAGTCTCACAGGTGTGTCCCACGATGCAGCGGGGGCTTAACACTGGCTTGACTCTGCTCTGATAACCTTGCAGGGGGAATCATGGAGTAAGGAAGAGGCAGTGGCACAACCTCTGTGTAGAGGGCACTGTTCAGCTCTGTCTCTGTGCATATGAGGGTTAAAGCTTCAACACTACAAAAAGTGCACGTCAATTGCAGTGTATGGACATTTGTTGCCATCTCCTGCTATAATCTGCGATGCTAAGTGAAGAGGATGCAGGTGGATAAGTTGTAGCCAGAGTGAAATGAAAACAGCAGGATATGCACTTCCACACAAATACATAATATTTACACAAGTTGCCTACTACTCAGTTTTGCTTTAATTACCCACAGTGAAAATGAGCTGTTGTAAGCCCATGGCAGTCTGAGGTGATGTCAGACATTTTTATAGCAGTGTCGCCCTTCAGTCCAATATAATAGAGTCCAGACACCCCACATCAGATCTGTGTTTGTCATTGCACGTTGCAATAAATGGGGTTGATCTAATCTTTAAGAAAGAAGCAGTTGCAAAAGTATTTTAGAAGTTTTAGCTTTAGCAACTAGCAAGGGCTGAATGCTAGCTAGTAGGCCCACATGTAAATTTCAGGCTGTGGGCCTAACGGACACTGAACTAGGGTTCAGGAGTTAGCAGGATAGCTGAGACCAACTTCTGTGAGGTGACGTCGAGTTTAATTATTCTAAGATGATATTCTATTTATTTTCTTAGTGAGAAAGACAAACTGTTTATTTGTAACGTTAAGACTCGTTATTCTTTTGCAGGTGTAAGTTTGTTTACCTGTTAAGAAGCGGCAGCAGAACACAACACACACTCGACACGGAAACACAACTCGACGCGCCGGTGACGTTACCTAGCTTAAGAGTTAAAAACATATGTTTTGATTTGTGATGAAACGTTCACTTACCCTCCATAAGTTGATGTTAACTCAAAGTTGAACTCGTGCTTCATCTCTGAATCACGGTGCACTGTGGTTACTGACAGTTAGTGACGAGCACGCGGGTTCAGTCAAGCCCAGGAGCTGTCGCCATGGTTACTTGCACTTTACGCAACGATGGGGATTTTTAGCGGACACCTGTCAACCAATCAGAAGCCAGAACCACTCCATATGCACGAGGCAACATCTGGAGGATGAAGAGTCGTTCAGCTGGCCATGTATGAAAATATTCATACCAATACAAATGATAACAATGATAGTAATACTTTTAATCAA